AAACAAAACAAAACAAAACAAAACAAAACAAAACAAAGAAAACCCTTTATTTCCGGATGGGGAAACTGAGGCACGGAGGGGTTGAGAGTTTTGTCTTCAACTACAGCTAGGGGCCAGAGGTAGCCCAGATGCGTCTGGCTGGAGGTCAGAAACAGACAAGGACAGGGAGCAGCGAAGTAGGAGAAACCGTGAGAAACAGCCCAGGTGCGGTCACTGGGGGCAGAGAAGGGCCAAACTGGAAGGCAGGCAGGAGTGTGTAAGGAGGTGAGAGTCCCAGAGAGAGAGAGGGGAAGGTGCTACAGACAAGGGCATCCCCCCAGAACAGGATTGCCTAGCCCCTAGCATTCCCCCCAACTCCAGCTCACTCCCCCAAGCAGCCTGAGGTCACTCCCTCCTGTTCCAGGAGAGCCTCCCGCCTCTGGCTGTCATTTCCCAGGAATCTGGAGGGGACTGAGCCCCCAGCTAATGGGACACATCCCAGCCCCCATTATGAGGAGTTTCTACCTACAGAGGATGAGGAGGAAGAAGAGGAAGACCATGAAGAGGAAGAGGAAGAGGAGGAGGAGAAAAAGAAAGAGAAAATCCCTCTGCCTCCCAAGAAGCCTCCTAAAGAGAAGACTTCCGCAGGCATCAAGGAGAGGAGGGCCAAGGCCCAGGGTCAGAAGGGTGAGTGTTGAGGGTAAGAAGGGAGCACACAGACGTGTAAAACTAGCCCTGTCCTTCAGCGGCTTGGGGGCCTCGTCCATACGCCAGAGTTCACACATCAAGAAGTTACCCAGCGCCTGGACACGAGAGTTTCTCTCCCTGGTGGTGTCGTCCCCCTGATGGTCCTTAAGTGCATAGCCTGCCTGGGGGCTCTGTGAGCCAGGGAGGGCAGAGGATTTTAGTTTTCGTTGTGATTTTTCAGCTTTTTAAAAAACTCAATATGAATCATTGTTATAATTTCCATAAAAGCATCAAAGTGATTACTGTAAAAATCAGTCAATGAATAAATGCTGTGATGGCTCTCTGGCCTGGGCACCTCACCCTACAGGTACCCCAGTCTGGTTTAAAGGTGGACAGGTAGCTGGCACCTTGGGCCCCTGTGAGAGAGGGAGAGAGTGCTCTCTGTATCACCTGCCAGAGGGGGTTTTCTGGGGATGGCATGGGAGCTGGGTTTCATTCATTCATTCATTCATTCATTCATGTATTCTGTAACACCAATAAGCTCCTGGTGTTTGTCCAGCCCTTTATGGACTCAGGATTAAAACTTGATGAGCAGAAGACAGACTCTGGGCCCTTGTCAGGCCATGATGAGTGGGTTGGAAGGTGGTCTTCAGCCCCAACAGGCTCTTCTTTGTCTAACCCCTACCTCCATTTCCAGGGGACCTGGGAAGCCCTGTCCCCCCATCCAAACCTCTTCGAATGAAGAAGAAGGAGGTACCAGCGGGGGAGGGGACCAAGATGAGAAAGACAAAGAAGAAAGGTGAGACTAGCCTCTGGAGGAACAGGGGACTCCGGATGTGGTGGAGGGTGACTCCTTCACATCCACACACACAGGGTCTGGGGAGGCTGACAAGGACACCTCAATGAGCCCGACCAGAGTGACAAAGAAGAGCCCAGCAGCCATGTTTCTGGTGGGGGAAGATGGCCCCGCTGAGAAAGCTCAGAAGAAGAAAGGTGGGTGGCAGTGGCCTCCGGTATCAGGACATCTAGAGGCAGTCCTGGGGGTCCTGGAGTCAGAAGACTTGGGAGGCATCTTGACCTGCCCACGTTAATAGCTGTGACTATTAAGGCAGGTATTGTAGCCTTTCTGAGGCCCCTATAACAGTAATGTGGGATGATTCTCTTGTGGTTGTGGGGAGGGTCCAAGTGAGACATGGGTGTTAGATGTACTTTGCAAACCATGAAGTGCTCTGCAGGGTAAGGGGTTAACAGGCTCGTTCCACGCCCAGGCACTCCCAAAGGCTCAGAAGAGGAGAGGAAGGAGGAAGAGGAAGAGGAGGAAGAAGTGACAAAGAACAGCAATCAGAAGGGCAAAGCGAAAGGAAAAGGCAAAAAGGTTGGGGCCCAGAGGGGAAGGGGACTGATGTCCTCAGGGAGCAGTGGCAGGGGCCTGGGTTTGGGGGACTGGAGTATGGAACCTCGTTGGGGGGCTGGGGCCATGAAGTCACTTGGGGTTAGAATCATGACTCCCTCTCTGATGACAGGCTAGGAGGACAAAGGGCACCAGACTTATGAGAAAAGAAAAGGCTGTTGTGGGGTCACCATGCTGGGATTGGTGCCCTGGGGGCCTGATGTTATCTGGGCTCTAAGCCCTCCCCTCCGCAGCCTAACATCAGACATGGTCAGAGAGGCTCACACAGCCCCAAAATGAAGAGACCCCATTTTCTTTTTCTTTTTAATTTTTTTAAATGTTTTATTTTATTTTTGAGAGAGAGAGAGAGAGAGCACGAGCAGGGGAGGGGCAGAGAGAGAGGAAAACACAGAATCTGAGGCAGGTTCCAGGCTCCAAACTGTCAGCACAGAGCCCGATGCAGGGCTTGAACTCACAAACCGTGAGATCGTGACCCAAACTGAAGTTGGACACAACCAACCGAGCCCCCCAGGTTCCCTGAGACACTCATTTTCTGTACCCGGGAGGTAGAACTCACAGGCAGACAGGGACACGTGTACTCACCCTTGGGCGCACTGGCTGGCTGTAGTTGTAAGAATATTTGCATGCTACTGCTCTAAGTTCTCCAAGTGCTTTCTGCTACCCCACCCCGGACCACCCACCCTTCCAGCAACTGAAGGGTTAACAGTGGCTGACAGGGGCCTCCTGCGCCCTCCCCCAGGCCCACCAGCATCCATTCTGACCGGGCATTCTCCATGAGCAGAACAGGTTGTTAACAGTTTGAATATTCCTCTTCCTCACAAATAGGACTCAGGTACCGACATGCACAGGCGGGACCAAGCAGGAGAGAGAGGGCCAGTTGGAGAAAGAAAGCGATGAAAGTCTTTGAGAAATTGGTTTCCACAAGCAGAGAGATCACCATGAGGGCAGGGCTGGGGGCTTGGCCATGTGGGCTTATGAGCCTGTTCAAGAGTGGTCGGGTCTTGGGGGACCTGATTCACATGGGCCCACATCACCAGGTACCGATATATAGACTGCAAGGCCAGTTTATTATCTCCCATGGGGAATATAACCACGGCACAGCCTTCAGTACAGTAGGCTCTAGAAATTGACAGCTGTGGAAATGTTTGAATAAGCTCTGGCTTTCTCCACATCACATTCCAAACATAGTCTTGTGTTTCCAAAGTTTCTTCTGGAGCAGCCCGGAGTGGAGAAGATGTTCAAGGGTCCGCAGGCTAAGGGCCTGCTCGCTGCCACCAGCCTCACCTCACACACAGTCCCAACCTGCCCTCAGCAAAAACAGCCAACCACAGCGTATCGGGGATTCCCAGTGACTCTCACGTAGCACACACCCGGGCTGGCCGTCCCTCGTCCTCCCGTCTTGTGAGGGATAGCACATGAGGGCAGACGGCACCAGGTTTGTGAGAAGCAGAAGGGCAGCTGCGGGGCCGCCAGGCCAGGCCAGGCCAGCCTACGTTGTAATGCAACCAAACTGCTCTGAGGAGTTTTTCCCTGAGCAAAATAAGCTTATTTATTCATTCATTGTCTTACCTCTGTATTGCTGTGTAGCAAACCACCCCAAAACTTAGTGCCTCAAAACAACAAACATTTATTTTCTTCATTCCTGTAAGTCAGGAATGTAGGAGTGGCTTAGTGAGGCACGTACTTCTGGCTCGGGGGTCTCATGAGATTGCAGTCAAGATGTCAGCTGGGTCTGCAGTCACTCTGAAAGCTTGACTGGAAATAAAGAATCCACTTCTAGAATGGTTCACTGTCATGATTGTTGGCTGGGGCCCTCTCCATAGGGCTGCCTGACTGTTCTCATGACAATGGCAGCCAACTTCTCTCAGGGCTCAAGAGTGGCCCAAGAGGGGCGCCTGGGTGGCTCAGCCGGTTAAGCGGCCGACTTCGGCTCAGGCCATGATCTCGAGGTCCGTGAGTTCAAGCCCCGCGTCGGGCTCTGTGCTGACAGCTCGGAGCCTGGAGCCTGCTTCAGATGCTGTGTCTCCCTCTCTCTGCCCCTCCCCTGTTCATGCTCTGTCTCTCCCTGTCTCAAAAATAAATAAACGTTAAAAGAAAAAAAAAAATTAAAAAAAAAAAAAAAGAGTGGCCCAAGAGAGACAGCAAGGAGAAGGCACGATATCTTTCATGACCTAGCCTTAGACTAATCACTTAGAAGTGACCCATCACTTCTGCTATATTCCATCGGTCAGAAACACCGACCCTGATACAGTGTGGAAGGGGACTACACAAGGGTGTAAATACCAGGAGGCAAGGACCACTGGGGCTCGTCTTGAAGGCTGGCTACCACATTCACTGAATATTTACTACACAGTATAATAATACCAGTAGCTAATACTACGGTAACACTATGTGCTTAGAACACAGCAATTCATACCTTCGGCCTCACCTCAGTTCACCCCTTGACATCATGTCCACTGAAGGAAGGTCTTTCTAAGGCCCTGGCTCTCACAGGAGGCTGCACAGCATTTAAAGCCTAGTTACACTTCTTACTAGCTATATGAACTTGGGCAAGTTGCTTAGCCTCTTTGAGCCTCAGCTCCTTCATCAGTAAAATTGGACAACTACTTCAGTAGTTACTGAGAAGGGAATTAAACCATGTAACATTTGGAAGATCCTTAGAACTATGCCTGGCACATTGGTAGGCTTTATAGGAGTGTTTGTTTAATGTATCAATTAAGTAAGGTCTGTCCCGGGTGTCCAGCCCCAACTTACGCATTTCTCAGATGGAAACACCGAGTCACAGTTAAACTGGGTAAAGAGTTGGGGCGCCTGAGCGGCTCAGTTGGTTAAGCGTCCAGCTTTGGCTCAGGTCATGATCTCGCAGTTCGTGAGTTCGAGCCCTGCATCGGGCTCCGTGCTGAT